AGATTGAGAAAGAGAGAGAGGTGTGGCTCCACTCTCTCTGCTTGTCCGAATGGCTTAATTACAACGCCCCTAAACTCCGGGATCATTAAAGGACCGAAATAAGTTTTAAAACATTCCAATCAATTGCAAATTAAATTTACATATTTTCAATTATTACCACACATTTTAAATCTAAAGAATTGTACAATTAACCTTTTGCATTACTGTAAATATTTTAATTACTTAATAATCAATGAACTGTGTAATTTAACCACTTAAACATCAACAAATGCTTTTAGGCTCCTACAATATATTACACCTGCTCTATATACATATCTTTAATACACTGTAGTAATTTATAAGAGACAGAGGCTTAATATCTGCACAATCTAGTCTCTGGCTTTTAACCTTTTTGGTGTCAACAATAATATATTGCAATAAGTTATTTTAACTCGAATAAATTGTTAAAATGGATTACACTACAACATTTTAAGTAAGAGAAATTCAGTTTTTTAAGTTCTTGATGAAGCAGCTTTTACTAGTAATTTTAAGTAACACTAAATTAGTTTTGTAAGTTACAGGAACATGCTGATTAAGTATTTTTTATGTATTATGTATTTTGTTTTCACAGTAGAAATAAAAATTACAAAATTAAGTCAGTGTCACTTAAATTTACTAAAGCTACTTGATCAAGAATGTTTTTTTAACTTAAAACATTGAGTTCAATTTACTTAAACATTTTTGATTAATCAGTTTCAATTAACTTATCTAGTTTACAGTGTGTACAATTTACTGACTGCAAACATTCCCTACTGATTTTATTTTTTGTATTCACAAAATACCAACAGCTGCTGATATTTAGTTTGCACCTGGTGGAGTACAGTTGACTTTATGCAGTCAACTGTGTTAACATGCAGGGGCGCCGCCAGGAATTTTGGGCCCCATGACAAAAAAATCAAATTGGGCCCCCTCTGCGCAGGTGTTGTCACCACATCTCTAGGACCTAACTGTCCCATCAAAAAGCTTTACATAACTCTAATTAAAGGCTTGCAACTGTCTTGCTTCTTGTAGTTCAATACTAGTACTAGCACAATATTTACTGCTGGTGATTTGTACATGCATGCAAGTCTGCATACAGTATGCAGTTCACTATTTGATGCAAGATTAAAAGCAACCATAAAAAATGTGCTAAAGGCCATCTTTTACAGTCTCAATGTATTTTTATTGTAACATTTCAAAATGGAAAATTCTCTTAACGAAATTAATTATTATTATTAATTATGAATTATTATTATAATAAAGTCTGTATCTATAGATGTCATTCCATAAGTCAATCTAAATGAACGTATCAAACTGGATTATTTTAATATTGTCTGTATCTTACATGCAGGCTCAGGTTTCCAACTGTCCAGCATCCAGTACAGAAAGTAGGTTGTTGTTGTTTTATTTTATTTCATAATGATCATTATGTGAGAAAATAATTGTTATTAATGTGTTTGAATTTCTGTCATTAATAAATATTTCATTTTCTTTTTTGTAATGGTAAAAAGAGCAAGAGAGACAGAGAAATCCCCACAGACTCCCTGCAATGATGCTAACTGGCCTTTCATTGAACACAATGTTGCTCAGCTTCTTCACTGGGACAGGGAGGGGTACAGTGATGGGGAGACTGGGGTGCTGCTGACTCATCTGTTGTTAAGTCTGCTAAAAGGGGCAGGGACAATGATTTAATATGAATATGTTGCTAAACGTTTCCCTGAACTGATTATATGGTGATTAAATGTAGGCTAACACTAGTCTGTAGCTGTATCTTATTTCACTATGGACATTAAGCCAACAGGTTAATACCACTCACAGACTATAGGTTACCCACATTTCTTGGTGAAACACTGGGTTCATAGACCGCGGAACCGGGGGGGTCAGGGGGGCCACGGCCCGGGTAACTTTAGTACTCTGACAAACTATTTTATATGAATAAAAGCCTTAGTTGTATCTGTGTTTTTACGAGCCAAACAATACTAGTCACCACACCTTCACTCACTCTCACTAACTGCTGCCGATAAAAAACTCCCACTGACTGCTGCATTTTGATTTGAAATTAGTGTGCAGTGTTTATCAACTACGTCATGTGTGAGCGTCGTCGCGAGCTAACGGCGGGCACCTGCCAAACCGCTGGTTGCATTACCTGAGAAAATGAAGAGACAGAAGTCAATATCCGGTTTTTTTACAAATAAACAGGCAAAACAAAATGAGCAAACTACTCCAGCTTCCACTGTGGCCTCAACAACAGACCCGGAGCGTCCATCTCCACCACGGACTCCGACGACCTGCCAAGCCATGGCTAGCTGCTCTCCTCCGGCTTCAAGCCAAGCTACCGAGAGCCACTGTACAAGTGAGTGTTGCGGGGGGATCTCACAAAGCCTAATCAACCTCACGAGCCTGCTGTGCTGATGAAGACCAAAAAGGTACAGGGAACTGGCTCTTCACAACAAGCAAGATCAGTTCAATATCAGTGGTTCAAAGATTTTAACTGGCTGACATTGTGTGAAACAAGCGGGAAACTTTACTGCACGCAGTGTCACTGCTGTGCAACCAAAGGCCTGGGGATTAACAAACACATGGAGCCTGCTTTCACCATTCACGGTTTTCAAAACTGGAAAAATGCTATACCGACATTGAAGGAGCATACCCGAAGCAAACATCACAGAGAGTGTGTGGCTCAATTTCAGGTGTTTGTGTCACAGCAGCCCAGCGTGGCCACACAGCTGGATACCCAGTTACAAGCAAACCAGAGGATCAACAGAGAGATGCTAATAAAACAACTAACTTCTCTGAGGTTTTTGGCCGGCTAAGGTTTAGCCATAGATGGTAACAACCCACAGTGCAGTAACCTGTACAAGCTGATGCAGCTGAGATCTGAGGACTGTCCCGATATCAAACGGTGGCTCAAGGAGAAGAATTACATGTGTCATGACATTATTAATGAGATGATCCACTTGACTTCACTTGATGTTTTACGAAAGGTTTCGTCACCTATTCGAGATGGATACTATGCGATACTCGTGGATGAAACCAGAGACATTGCTAACAAAGAACAGCTTGTTACTGTACTTCGCTGGGTGGATGACACATACACGGTGTGAAGATTTTTTGATTTGAAAACAGATGCACACACAATTTTCACTGTGCTAAATGACATTTTGAGACGGTACAATATATTGCCTGAGTTGTGCAGAAAGTCCGCTTTAAAGTGCACAATCCTGCAGTTATATTTGTGCATTGTTTGGCACACTGCCTAAACTTATGCCTCCAAGACGCTGGGAAAAAATGCAAAGTGATTCGAGATGCATTGGATATTGTGCATGATGTGACACACCTGATTAAGCAATCCCCCAAACGAAACCATGCATTTCAGTCACTAAAAAACTAAATGAAACCAGACACACAAAACCTGCGAACCCTTTGTCCAACACGATGGACAATGAGAACTGGCGCTTTAAAGTCAGTTATTGACAACTACTCTGTGCTTGCCACTGCGGTGGAAGAGTTTTCAGAAGAATCCCGTGATGAATGCGGTCGGAAAGCTGGAGGCATTTTGGCCATGCTTGAAAAATTCAGCACCCATTTCAGTCTGCGCCTCGCTTATCTGGTTTTCTATCCAACCGAACAGCTGTCCAAGACATTACAAGCCACTGACACAATGCTACAAGCTACTTTGAGGTGCTGGACTTGCTGAATAATGAACTGAGTCGTTGTTTTGATCAGAGTGACTTCGAGGTTGTGATAGACATTGGAAAGCTGCTTGTCGCAGCAGCCTCTGGTAAACAGGTGACGCTCCCGTCTTCTGTAACGTCCTTATACGCAGAGGATTTTGACTTTGACAGTCTGCGTGCACAGTTGAGCTGCCAGACACCATAAAGACATCAGGGATTCAAACCAAGTCTGAAAAAACATCAGTAAGGCTTATAAGTGAAGCAATGAATGCTAACCCTGTGGCCAAAGAATTACAGTCAGAAGTGCACAAACTGTTGAAACTGTTTTTCACGATCCCAGTCACTACAGCATCAGCTGAAAGATCTTTCTCAACACTTCGCCGTATCAAAACATACCTGCGTTCAACTATGACACAGAGAAGGCTTAATGACTTGATGTGCAGCCACATACACCGGGATGTTCTGGCACAAGTGGACATGACTGCTGTTGGAAAGGAATTCATCCAGCAAAATGAGCGACGCAGACTGGTCTTCGGGAAGTTCAAGGACCACTAACGTAAGTCCGTTTTTTTTACATAACCTACATGTCATTTTCTGTGGTATGGCTGCAGTAGGCGTTGGCCTGTTGTGTTGCTTACTTTTCATTTAACTGCGCAGCTGCGCTTGTTTTGTTGTGTGTGTGCGTGCGGCTCTGCACATCAGTCTGATAAGAGTGTTGACTTGTGATGATAATGACTATGATGTTGATTTAGATTCAAGGCAACAAGATGAGTTTTGGTTGTGGTTGTGGACTGGACTGGATGTACTTTGTTGTTTGCTATAGTTTCATCTGTGCGTTTATGTGTAAATATGCTTGGCCTGTTGTGTGTGAATGTTAGAGTGGGATCAGAGGGGTTAATCTGAGCAAGCATGTGTGCGTGTTCATCATACGTGTACTGTAGATGTGACTGTGTGGTGTCAGAATAAAAAAAAGTGCTCCGCAATGTTATTCAATACATCAGTAATATTGTCTGTTTCAATGCATAATATGGATGTTTACTTTTTGGTCAAAGGAGGTATTTAACTTTTACTGCCAAAAACAAGTAAAAACAAAGAGATCATTAATTTTATTATTATATTTGAAATATATATACTGAATGATGATGGTTTAATAATTTTATATTTGTTTTTACCTATTTTTTGGGGGCCCTGTCAGTCATGGGCCCTTGGAATTGTCCTAACTTTTCCCCCCTATATGGCGCCCCTGTTAACATGGATCAGTTTAATGATTTGGACTGCAGCTGCTGCAGGAACTCCTGAAAGGTGATTAATTCAAATTTATAGTGTGCACAAGTTATTAGCTTGTTCTGATCTTGTTTGTGCAATGATCTGCTGACAGAAAGATAAGTAAATCGAGAGTAAGTTTGGGAGGCAGACACCCTCACCACATTCAAGAGTAGGCTTAAGACATTCCTCTTTGATAAAGCTTATAGTTAGGGCTGGATCAGGTGAGTCCTGAACCATCCCTTAGTTATGCTGCTATAGGCCTAGACTATCGGGGGATTTCCCATGGTGCACTGAGCTCCTCTCTTCCTCTCTCTCTCTTTCTGCACTCATTCATGTTCCATTAATGCATGTTACTAACTTCACTTCTTCCCCGGAGTTCTTGTGCTTTCTCGTCTCGCAGGTTCTCATGGATCCTGGTGGAGCCTCCTGCCATGGTCCTGCTTGACTGCCATTGCCAATACTGTTGTTGCTGTGCACCTGTCTGTCTGTCTGTCTGTCTGTCTGTCTCTCTGTCTGTCTGTCTGTCTGTCTGTCTCTCTGTCTCTCTCTCTCTCTCTCTCTCTCTCTCACCCCAACTGGTCGAGACAGACGACCACCCACCTAGAGCCGGAGGATCTGTCCTAGGTTTCTGCCTTTTAACAGGCAGTTTTTCCTTGCCCTTGTCGCCAAGGTCTTGCTCATGGTGGTACTGTTGGGTCTCTGTAAATAATGTTCTAAAGAGTTCGGTCTAGACCTGCTCTATTTGAAAAGTGTCCTGAGATAACTTCTGTTATGAATTGGCACTATACAAAAAAAATTGAATTGAATTGAAGTGAATTGAATTAAATATATTGTCTGCACAAGATAATAACCTGTACCAGTTCTGACCTTTTACACAAAAAGTAAAATATCATCATCAAGTATTTATTGAATTCTTTTAATCTTGTTTCTAACTGTCTGTTGCATTTATTATTTCTATAAGAAGGAAACGTTACAGAGGGAAGTTATTTGATTTTAATTGAAGCTGTTGTTTGATCTGCACTTTCACATTAAAGTGTTGTTTACATTAACGTTTAATAAAACTGATAATGTGTTTGTTAGATTTAGGTGAATGATCAAACATTGACAATCAATAATACATGTGGCTGGCCCCATATAGGCCTGGGCTCCCTGTGTGAAAATCACACACATCACAAAGCTCCATGAAAGAATCCACTTTAGAAATAAAAATCTGCTGACCTTTCCACTTTTTCACTTTGCAATTGAACTTGACCCAAGTTGACCTGCAAAACCTGAACGCTGAAAACTGGAAATTCTTTGGAGAGCTGAAGCCTGAAAGCATCTGGAAAACAGAGCTTGTTGAAGAACCGAACCAGTGGAGCACTGAGAGGAGAAGAAGAAAAGCAAACAGTAACAGACCAACAATATAATATAATATAATACAATACAATATATAATATAATATAATATAATACAATATCTAATATATATATAATATAATGTAATTTGATATAATATATAATATAGGTATAATGTTATCTAATCGTTGTGGTGGTGTTAAAAATATGATGTTTGTTCCACAAGTATAGGTGTGTGCAGATAATGGAAACAGTGTCACAGCCAGGATCGAGGGTAGGACAAAGTGGACTTTTTAACTAAGTATTTATTTCACAAGATATAACAATGATAATATAAAGTATGTCAATCAGTACATCAGTAGTGTTTGTGTGAGTGACAGTGAAGTATAATAGCTGAGGATCAGCTGATGCTAATTAGTGAAGCACTTTTCTTCTTCCCTCCTAAAAGGGAAAGACAGCCCAAACAGGAAGTCCATGGCTGTCACAATAGCTATTATCGCTTTTAATGAATATTGTGTCATTGTGTCCCCTCAGCTGCTGCCACTTGCTCACCCCAAACACCGCCCAGAGGTGAAAAGGGGAACTGAGTGTCTTCCCCCAGAGAGAGACACTGATAGTTCAGACTGAATGAGAAACTAAATTATGCTGTAATACTGACAATGATATTAACTCTGTCCATCCACTGTATATATGAGTGCTTGTTATTATTTATAGGCACTATTTTATAGCATTACTCTGCCCACTATTGTTTCCATGTACTTTGGAGCTGTGCAGCACCTTCCTACATCTTAAAGGTGAAAAGGTCAGAAGAAGTAGGTTCTCTTTGTTCTTCTTGGTATGGGTTGGAGGGAAAAGAGGGAAATCAGATCTGAAGGGTGGAGCTATATATTCTTGGGGTACTGGTTTAGAGAGGAGTGGCAGCAATGCAGGTGGGGAGGAGACTTGTGATTTAACAGCTGCCCCATCAAATGGTACATTTGATAAACAAATCACATCCTGACTCGGTATTAAACGTAACAGTTTTCCTACAGGCCATAGACTTCTTGGCAGTTGGGGGTACGTTATTAGTACGACTATTTCTACCTTCGGATACTGAATTTCTTTTTGCCAAGTCGACTTATTCTCCATTAAAGTGAATAGTATTGGTGTGTAATTGCAGCCAAGGGAGCTCCCCCTGCTGGCCTTTACAAAGAATGCAGGTTTTAAGACACTTCTGCATTGGCTTCACTTTTCAGACCCGGAAGCTCTGTCCATTATATATATATACTGTCAATGGTTGCATGCTAACAACAGCTACATTAGCACTTAGCGTAGTTGGGGCAGAGCATCATATTTCACTTGGCTTGGGAGCCGGAGGGTCGCCGGTTCAAGTCCTATAGACCATACCTACCAATGTGGACTGGTAGCTGGACAGGTGCCAGTTTCACCTCCTGTGCACCTTGAGCAAGGCAACCTAACCCCAAAAACTGGTCCTGGGGCGCTGCTAATGGGGCAGCCCATCACTCTATCATCTCTCTCCATGTTTGCATGTCCACAAACGCTGCATGTGATTGATGCATGATTGTGCATTTCAGCCTGTGTGTGTGTAATAAAAAAGAGTGAAAAAAATGTCTCCAATAGGGGATTAATATCTGTGTCGCTAAAAGATGATGGGTGAATGCCATGATATTATTGGTTGAATTCAGTTAGTTACACATTTTCTTTTACTGAAAGACAAAATTGGATTTTGATATAAAAATACAAAGAAATTTAGTTTTTCTTGAATGTTTTGGCATACATTGATAAATAGGGGCACAATATAACTGAGGCTGTAATCTCAAAGGGTTAAAATTCAAATTCAAATTTCACCTGGACTGAATAAAAAAAAAAAAACACTTTACAAAAGGTAGGCAGAAGTGGTACTAAATGAAGAGCCCTTGGGGAGCCGAAAGAATCGGCTCTTATTGCGTCGGTGAGCCAAAAGATCCGCCTCACTACAGAGAGCCGAACTTCCCATCACTGAACGACACCGTTTTAGCTCAAAGCGGAAGTTCAGAGTGACTCCATAGCGTAGTAGAATACAAGGGCTTGTAGAGAAATTGCTACGTAACATAATTATTTGCCGTTCAAGCTGTGAGCGCTACTGTGAATTCAGGACGTCGACTAAAGGTAAGTGTGTGGCGTTTGGGAGAAATATAGGAAAGGTGTGGCTCGTTAGCTAGGCCTGCTGGAACGCTAACTTCCTCTGAACGTTGTCATCAAAACATATCGTGCCTCGTGAGTGTGGCTCAACGTGAAACCGCTGCGCCGTTACAGGCCGACACACCGTCCACCTGTGGAGCTCTGCTGTCAATACAGTGGCTGGCTCCCTGTTGTTGGCTTGCCGATCATGTTAGAAATCCGTATTAACGTTACACATTGTCCAGTATTGTGCTAATAATGTTACTGTTCGCGTCAGTTAGCTAGCCAACCTTACAGATGTGAACATCAGGAACTCTAAGGTGAAGTTGGTAAACTTGTTGATAAGCAGTGCCTCATAGCATGCTACATAACCACACTGCTGCTATATCAGCAGATTCTGGCGGTTTCACGATATATCACGGTGGGATTGTTTTTATTATTATTTAAATGATTTGTTTTTGCACAACTGGGCCTTTTATACAGTAGGGCTGCACAATTAATTTAAATATTACCAAATTCGCAATATGGCCAAGTGCAATGTGCAAATCTTAGAAGCAATATGCAAATCAGAGCTGTAATATTTAAAGGTAAAATATGTGATAAACATCACCTGGTCTACAAATCTTGTTGGATTTTTTTGTGAAAATTCAATTTTTGATGCAAAAATCATCAACCCTACATTATTGTGAATTACAATAACTATATAACAATATATATAATAATCACTCTATGATAGATAATTCATAATTACACATAATTCAGTCGGTACCCTTAAAAGTACAGTACCCAACCCTAGTATATACTAAGGGCTTTGGTTACTATAGAGTTTTCTAGGCCCAAAAAGTGATGCATGAAAGGGATCCTAATGTAAACAATTTTCATTGTTCAAACTGCAACATATTAAAAACAGAACTTAAAAATATAGATATAAATATAGATAACATTTTTCCTTTTCAAAACCAAATATTTCAATTGATGTTCTCTTGCACAAGTAAGACACAAAATGTGTGTGTTGTGTGTCATGTGCTAGTCCTGTTATAGAGTTATTTGTGGGTTATTAATTGCTGTATTATGAATTTATAACCATGAGTAAGAAGGGTGTTAATAGTGAATGATTTCCAACAGTTACTTTACATGAGATATAATACAGAGGAAATATGTGATGAGAACAGTGAGGTGAAAACTGAGAATCGTGAGACTGACAATATTGAATAAAACTCAGTAAGTCGAATAAATGGCGCACTTTTTTGCCATTATGTTTGCCTTGCCTATTGTAAACTTTGTGTGGGTACTTCACTTTCACTTTATTGCTAGATATTTAAGGTCCAGTGTGTAACATTCCGCAGGATGCAGTGAATTAAGGAGTTATTTCGACCAAATTAGAGTTGGTGAATAGTGGAAAGACTAACAAAGACTGTTTTGTTTCTGTCCACTTTGAATGAACATACGAGGATATGGGAGCGTTTTTGTCTATGGAGTCTGGTGTTGTCACAATACCAAAATTATTGTTTTGATACCGATACCAAGTCAAGAATTGCGATTTCGATACTTTTTCGATACTTTTCCTGAAAAGGAGAAACACTCTCAAATATCATTGCTGTGCTTTATTTTAAAACCAGGACATTTTAATCAAATAGCACACTAATGAATGAACATATGAGCAGCAGATATATTAAACATTTGAACAAAATATGAAATATCAAAATATAAAAAATAATTAGAGCAATGACATTCAAGTTAAAAAAAATAATAATTTAGCCGCACTATCTCAGTTATCATACGAAACATAAGAGAAAACATAACTTTATCTTGATTTTGAACTTTGAATAAAAACATGAACAGTGATTTTATTAAACAATGTAAACATTCAAAAGATTAAATATAATAATGCCTGGGGTACTTGTGCTGCTCAAACATAGCTTGGAGGGTTGGCTGCTGGGTTGGCTGCTGCCTGTGAGGAGTTGTTCTTTCGGAGCCCGCGGCTCCAGACTTCTGTAGCAGAAGAAAATGGAAACATTTAAAATATGATGGGGATAAATTTGTCATAACAGAGGACCTAAATAGTTTATGTGTGATAGTAACAATAACTTGTGACTAACTTAGCATCTCTATATGCAGCTAACATTTACTTAACCATAACGTTACCATAATTAATAGGAAATAATGAGTTAACCTAATGTTATTTAAGCTGTGATATATGGATTAATATAGGCTAATGTTTCCTGTACTTCAGCGTCTGATTTCTTTCATGGTTAACTTTATATTTGAGTCCATCATTTCTTACCAACTACGGTGGTGCAAAATAGTGACTTCTCACAAAATAAACCATAGCCTACTCATTTGACTTATTTAAGGGCATGAACGTGATCGTGTTATCTTTCACATACTAACCTGTCGGTCTTTAAACTCCTCCTACTACTCGGCGTGCTTGTCGGCCAAGTGTTTCTCCAGGTTGGAGGTGTTGGCTCCCTTTGTTTGCATTTGATGACAAACAGGTCTCGACTTATCGGTAGCTTTGCCCTCACTGTCAGCAAGGTAGGCAAAGTACTTCCATATTTCACTCCTCGCGTCATCTTTTTCTACCAGTCGTGGACCGGCGGCCACAGTATCACTTGTGCTCGCACATGCAGCCATGTCATTACAGTGTTTGTCACATGACAGCTGCAGCTTCTTTGCTGCGTGCGTGAGGAGAAAAAGCACAGACGTCCAAAGGGAGGCACTAGAAGCATGCGTTGCACCCCCAACATGAATACGTCTCTTACAAATCTGGAACGCGGCCATTCTGAGAAGTATCGATACTAATAAATTTAGGAATCGTGTCGTTTTTAATTTCCGAGAATCGCAATACTTTTGAAGTATCGGTGCACCGTGCAACACTAATGGAGTCTGGTGCAATATTATAGCTGGTATGGCTGTTTCTGGTTCAACAAAAGGTCTATCTCTGTAGGGATCCTTTCCATTATGTTGTCAGATGTGTGGATGCACTTTGACAGGCACATTTGTCCCATAGGATTAGCTAATGTTACATGGCAGCCATTTTTCACCTAACTTGGTGAATTTAGGGTTTATTTCAACTAGCATTGGTGATTGTTGGAAACAATTTTGGTTTTGTGAGTTCTATTTTGTTTCTATACAGTGTGTTTAACAGTTATCTGCTAGGTAAAATTACTTTTAATTACTTTTTTTCAACAGAGTCTGGCCGGCCATGGTGCCCATTGTTTTGGTCTGGTGCTCTAATGCGACATCTAGTGGCAGGGAATTTCTCTTGTTTGTTTGCTAGGACGCCCCAATGTTGGGGCGGCACTGGCTCAGTTTGTAGGGACTTGGCTTGGGAACCGGAGGGTTACCGGTTCAAGTCCCACAGACCACAATATGGAGTGTGGAGTGGTAGCTGGAGAGGTGCCAGTTTCACCTCCTGTGCACTGCCGAGGTGCCCTTGAGCAAGGCAACCTAACCCCAAGAAACTGCTCACAGGCGTCGCTAATGTGGCGAGCCCATCACTCAACCATCTCTCTCCCTGTTGCATGTCCACAAGTGTGTGTGTGTGTGTGTGTGTGTGTGTGTGAGAATAAGAAGAATAAAAAAAAAAAAAAAAAGAGTGAAAAGAAGAAATTCCCCTAGGGGATGAATAAAGTATCTATCTATCTATCTATCTATCTAGGCAACTCTACTAGTATGTGTCTGATTTTCATTATTTAAGATTTCTCTGGTGAGAAACAGCAGCAGTCAGGTTAGTCGAACTTATTTGGAAGAGAAAATGAACTTGAACTGTAAAAGGTAAGCTACGGACCAACTTCTTGCTTCAACTATGACCTACTGTACCAGCTGTGGTTGTGTGCACACAGTGTTCCTGTACAATTAAGTATTATTTTGTGCTCACTTCCTGTTTCACTTCCAAATAAACTGATTACTTAAAAGTGAAGTATGAGCAGTTAGATGATCTCACCATGTTCCCAGATGTTATTAAATGGCCAGAGCCGAGAAAGTAAAACGTAAGATGCAATAAACCATAGTTTTTCATTTAATGAAGGGCATTCTACCCGAGTGTGTGAAAAGTAGTTCATGCATGACTGCTGCTACGATCCGTGTCTACAAACCAACTAATTAGAATGAGGTTTGTGGTTTGTACATACCAGGGATGTGCTTTGTCACAGAAGCCTTCTTTCTGTCATCAAGTTTATCTCTGAACCCTCTCTCTCTCTTCCTCCTGTAGATGGGAGACTACCAGTAAGACCAGCCTTCCACCTTCTGCTGCCATGATGACCAGTCACTGCACGTTGTTGCCAGAAGTTTTGCCAAACCAGTGTCTATTGGCCCACCTGAACTGCCGGCCTGAGCTAGACTCTGAGGCCCTGTGTGCCTTCTCTGATGAGCCACCTCTCCCAGGTAAAATCATGGAGGAGTGCAGCGTGTCAACCAGTGAGCAGCCTCGCTATTACCCACAGGTGACGTCTCCAGGGTTGGAGGCATACACCAAACGATGGTAGGTCGTGGATGTATTTTAATTCTTTTTAAAAAAAATAATGTTTAACAGTCAATCTGAAGCAACGCTTCTGATAGCAGCTAACATTGCAGCTCCTCCCGGCTGAAGACAATAACTAAAGCCATAAGGATCATTTGTTTCAGACTGAAATAATCCTGGGAGAAAAAGTTTTGAATAAAAAGTTCACTGAAAGAAATTGACAAAAGTGTTGATAGTGAAATTGAGTAAGCGAGGTTATTGTGTGTAGGCATGGGATGTTACGAAAATTTCATGTCAGGGTTATCTTGGCCAAAATAATTGCAATACATGGTATTATCACAATAATCATGAAAATGTATTTCATATTTTTAAAATGGCACTAAAACATACTGGAATCACTTTAGCTTACATTTAGTTTAGAAACACATTTATTGCATCCCAGATAGGAAGCTCATCTCCCTCTTCTTTATTCTGGAATCTGTACTATTTCCACACATCCAGTTTAACTTTTTCTTTGGGGGAATACAACGGGCAAGCCGAGCCTTCAGCCGAGGTGAAAGGATTAGGATTTTGGAATGACTGGAAAGATCCTCTTGTCCCTTTGTTTAAAATAAATTAGAAAATCTATATAGGACTGTAAAGTGGAGAGCTAGACAGCTTTTTCAAGTCCAGCCATGTGAAGATATTCATAATTATGGAATTTCAGTGTTGTTTATGATTATAATGTTTATGGTCCCATCTCTACATGCGTGTCTATATTAGCAAACATGCAAATGAATTCATTATCTACACACAAATGACATGTCATTAGGATGCAGGTCCATATTAGGGGTGTAAGAAAATATTGAAATATTGCGATATTTTATTTTGTGATTAAACCCCCCAACAGCTGATAGCAGTGCTTTAAATGTAAGCTGAGGGCTGTGATGTTGGATGTTACAGGGACAGTGATAAATACAAATGCAGATGCCACTGTTCTGGTTGCTATGTTCTAGGAATTTTGTGCTGCTTTGTTGGCTAGTAGACACTGCAGCTAACCTGTATCCGCTTGTCAGTGAGTCCGTTCACCACATCGTCCGTTCACCACATCGTCCGTTCACCACATCGTCCGTTCACCACATCGTCCACCAGACCCAAGCTTGCTGCTATGTAAAAATTAAGAGTGTGGTCTGAGATGTTGGTGCTCTAGTGCGACATCTTGTGGTAGTGAATTTCTCTCACAGCCTTTTCAGGATGGAGTTTATCAAACAAGCAATTGTTTGCTAGCACACTAGGCAAGTCTACCTTCTATATACTGTGCTAACTGTACTATGTGTCTGATTTCATTGTGGATAAGATTTCTCTGGTGAGAAACAGCAGCAGTCAGATAAACAAACCCTCAGGTTAGTCAAACTTATTTGGAAGAGAAAATTAACTTGAACTGTAAAAGTATTCCCCCACAGGTCCATTGTAAGCAGGGCCATATAGGGGGGAAAAGTTAGGACAATTCCAAGGGCCCATGACTGACAGGGGCCCCAAAAATAGGTAAAAACTAATATAAAATTATTAAACCATCATCATCATCAGTATATATATTTCAAATATAATAATAAAATTAATGATCTCTTTGTTTTTACTTGTTTTTGGCAGTAAAAGTTAAATATCCCCATTGACCAAAAAGTTAACATCCATATTGACCGACCACCCCCCTGTATCTACATGAAATGGTTTGGTCCTGCTTTAGCGCACTTATCAGTGACGGTGTTTAGTTGCAGTCAGTAAATGCAGAACTACAGTGATCACAATGTTAACTAGTAAATCAAAATCGGGTTTTCAAAAAAGGAAAGAGAGAAAAGAGAGAGAGGAAAGACAAAGGAAAGGATGTCAATCTGTAACCCAGTGTTTCACCAAGAAAGGAGCCTATAGTCTGTGAGTGGTATTAACCTGTTGGCTTAATGTCCATAGTGAAATAAGATATCCAGCTACAGACTAGTGTTAGCCTACATTTAATCACCATTTAATCAGTTCAGGGAAACGTTTAGCAACATATTCATATTAAATCATTGTCCCTGCCCCTTTTAGCAGACTTAACAACAGATGAGTCAGCAGCACCCCAGTCTCCCCATCACTGTACCCCTCCCTGTCCCAGTGAAGAAGGTGAGCAACATTGTGTTCAATGAAAGGCCAGTTAGCATCATTGCAGGGAGTCTGTGGGGATTTCTCTGTCTCTCTTGCTCTTTATACCATTGCAAAAAAGAAAATGAAATATTTATTAATGACAGAAATTCAAACACATTAATAACAATTATTTTCTCACATAATGATCATTATGAAATAAAATAAAACAACAACAACCTACTTTCTGTACTGGATGCTGGACAGTTGGAAACCTGAGCCTGCATGTAAGATACAGACAATATTAAAATAATCCAGTTTGATACGTTCATTTAGATTGACTTATGGAATGACATCTATAGAGACAGACTTTATTATGATAATAATAATTAATAATAATAATAATAATTAATAATTAATTCCGAAATTTTACAATAAAAATACATTGAGACTGTAAAAGATGGCCTTTAGCACATTTTTTATGGTTGCTTTTAATCTTGCATCAAATAGTGAACTGCATACTGTATGCAGACTGCATGCATGTACAAATCACCAGCAGTAAATATTGTGCTAGTACTAGTATTGAACTACAAGAAGCAAGACAGTTGCAAGCCTTTAATTAGAGTTATGTAAAGCTTTTGATGGGACAGTTAGGTCCTAGAGATGTGGTGACAACAGTATCAGCTGGGGTTGTGTGCACACAGTGTTCTTATGCAATGAGAGAGCAATGAGGCATTATTTTGTGCTCACTTTAAATTTCACTTCCACAAAAACTTTTTCTTTTTTTTTTTTTTTTAAGTGATTTCACCATGTTCCCAGATCCCAGATGAAAATTTCTTTGAAAATTGAGAGGTCTTACTCCCACTATTCCCTCAAATGTCAGCCATTAATCATTCCCTTCTTCTTCCTCTTTGGATTAGGCAGACTAAACAGTACAATGGTGTATTGCTGCCATACTGTTTGTTATTAATATTCCTTGTATATATATATATATATACATTTTATTTTTATTTTTTTTAAATCTAACATGTCCGTAACAACACGGAACTCTAGAAACACAAGCTAAAGGGCCGTCATATGTCCACAGTCTCACTGTGAATTTGTATCCGTATAATCCAAAAACTGTATTCTTTACAAACTTTATGTTTTGTCTCACAATGAAGGCTGAGTGAGTTGGCTGTATAAGTGGGAGAAGACCGTAGGAATGAGAAGGGACCGTTACAATAATTAATATTTCTCACTAAAATAAGTGCTGATGGGTGGATTGCGGAATTGATTGCTGCTTCCTGTCTGGTGCTGGAGAGAGAGGCTATTTGTGTCTGCTTTCAACGTCTGTAGCTCACTGCATGGCTCCTCCAGTTGTTTCTGACACAACCAGATTTTTAGATGGTATTAGATTAAATTTTTCTGGCGTTGACAAGACACTGGAGTGAGCGCCAATTTGCTTCTGACCTGTGGGGATTTGTCAGCAATCTTGGGGCTAAAATCATGCAGTGTGAACTCGGCATTAGTGGCATCCAGGAGGACCTCTAGTGGTAGGCACTGGCTGGTTTCCATGTCATGGAGACCTTTGAGAGGGAAGGCCTGACTCCTCCCAATGGCTCGACTTCCTGATAAACATGCATCTGCGTTCTTGAACAAAGGATGATTAGATGGTATATAAACCATAAATTACATTAACATGAAATGAAACCAAAAGAAACAAATGAGTATCTTCTCATGGTTCTTCTCCTCCTCAGTGCCGTGCCAGAAAACCCCATGTGTCGTATCTGTCACGACAGCGGCACCCAGGAGGAGCTGCTGTCCCCCTGTGAATGCTCCGGGACCCTAGCCACCATCCACCGCAGCTGTCTGGAACACTGGCTGTCTGCCTCAGGAACCAGCTTCTGTGAGCTCTGCCACTACCAGTTCACTGTGCAGAGGAAGTCCAGGTCGCTGCTCGAGGTACAGGACGGTCAGGCCAGCTCCGGCATGAGAAAGATTCAGTCCAGTGGTTCTTTGCATCACTGATCATTGATCTAGAGCCTGACTGTGCTTTCATTGTTTTTGGCGGTGTAGTGGCTGCAGAACCCAAGTCTTCGTCAGGAGAAGCGCACCCTGTTTGGTGACATGGTGTGTTTCCTGCTCATCACCCCTCTGGCCACCATCTCCGGGTGGCTCTGTGTACGCGGGGCCATAGATCATCTTCAGTTCTCCAGCCGACTGGAGGCCATGGGGCTAATCGCACTTACTGTTGCTCTCCTCACCATTTACCTCTTCTGGACCCTGGTTAGTATGCCGTTATAAATGTATGCAATGTTTATTACATCAGCCTGCCCAGCTATATATTTTGACACATTTTTAGAATGGCAGAGGTCATAGAGACAGTTTAACATCATCCAGTTTGAATCCCCAGACATGTCTTCTCTTGTTTAAATATTCAGCCAGTTTTGGTGGTTCTTTTTTTGTGCTTTTCTCATGACCTACAGCAGTTTTAATTTCATATAATCTTCTTCTGTTTTAATTGCCAGTAGACATACAATAGGCCTAAACTGCATTCATAAAGGTCTTAAAGCTGCAGTAGGTCATTTAAAAACCAAAAAAGACTTTTGGTCATATTTGCTGAAACTCTCCTCCTGAATCCACTCGGCCCCGGACAAAAACGAGAAAGATAGTTGATTGTTGAGTCTCATTCCCAGTCTTGTTATTCAAGACCTTGGGAATGAGACTCAGCAATCAACTATCTTACTTGGCTCTGATTGGTTGTTTTTTGTTTTCTTGTAAATGCCATTAGGAGCACTAGGAGGAGCCGGAGGAACCCTTATTTTTTTCTGATTATCTGTCTCATGTACTGCTGTCAGGATATAGTGAAAGTTTCAGCAAATATGACAAAAAGTTATTTTTAGAAAAGTTAGCTAGTGCAGCTTTAAAAAGTCCTAAAATGAAAGTTAAATCCTCATGTTCCCGTCTTCTTCAGGTGTCTCTCAGGTATCACTGTCGACTGTACAACGAGTGGCGACAGTCCAATCAGAGAGTAGTCCTCCTCCTCCCGAGGGCTCAGGCGTCAGCGCTGCACTCCTTACAAGGCTCACAGCGAGGGAAGCAGCCGTCCAAAGAGTCAATAGTCTGAGTGCCGAGCCGGCTTGGAACCGGCTCTCATCAGTGGGTGGAATCCGTTCATCTTCTGCTCTCTTTGCACTTTTTAAAGCACCGTGCCATGTGTGAACGGCCACAGGTCCAAGCAGCACTTTATTCTCAGAGACCATTGTGAACAAAGTAAATGACTGCCTCACCTGGACACGAGGGATGCTGTCAGCTGTTACACTGTCAGCGTTTTGGTTGACCAAATGACACAAGGCTGAACACTGTGATGTTAACTTGCAAGAGCATTCTGGTGCAGGTTCATGCACATTAACAGCTACAGCCAATCTGAAAGTAGTCCAATGACAGTTTGACTGATTGATTGATTGATTGATTGATTGATTGACTGATTGATAGATAGGGACACACTTAAACCAAAGGCTATTTTTGTATTTGAAACATTTTGTTGTTTGGTCTGTTTCATGTGTGTGTTGATGTAGATCAATAAAATTCACTGTTCGATTTAATTTGGTTATATGAAGGGTTTCACTTATTTTACATGAATCTATAATTTTCATGCATTAGCTCTCCATCACAGAACTTTCCAAAGTAAATGCAACAGCTCGGCATGTATTGGAGAGACAAGATTGTGCTCGGGGATTAATGATTGGCGCAGAAGAATTTGAAGGACGTAATGTCAAACAGTGGTTGACATTTTAACATGTTTAAGGGATGTTAAAGATAACCTTGTTTAACACAGTGGTTCCTAACAGTTTTTGTGCCCCCAGTCTTGTCAGATGAACTCTAGAACCCTTTAATCAACACCACCAATATCTTCCAAATGTGTTCATTAAACACTATTCACTATTGTGTATGTGAATATTACATTATTTGTTTAACTTTCCCTTTGTACTACTTATAGGACAAGCCATATATCCATTTTTAGCTAACTGTTTATCCATTACTCTGCTATTTCAACCATTTATCCATACTAGTGCAGTGCCCGTAGGAAGTATGTATTGCTATAGAAAAGTGGGAGGTTAAGTAGCTTTTTCATGGAAGGTTGTGTTTGAAGGTGTAGCAGCTAGCTACAGACGAACATCCAGATTCCAATTCCAGTTTGTTGTCCTCGCGTATCCGGATCTCCTCAGACCGGAACAGACTCGGTCCAGACTCGTTCAGTGTCAGTAATCCACAACAGTCAGTTTAGATGCACAGAACGGGACCGAACAGCCGGCAAAACCCGCTGCAGGTATAGATCAGCGTGTTTCTTAAGGTGTGTCGTGGGGGTGGGCTCTGCAGTGATTGGCTCTGGTGTGCACGTGGCTATGGTGGCTATGGTTGACAATGCTAGCGGAATTCGTAAATCATTTATGAAATAATTTATTAACGGTATCTTTGTAGTCCAAACAAAGCCGACGTTGCACACCCTTAAACCACACAGCAGCCATGTTGAAACTCTCAGGTCAGTCTGATCCTGATCTGCAGAGATATTTGAGGCACACACACACACAGAAAGACAGAGATTTCTTGCTTTTATAGAGAGATTGGTGATTTTCTTTTCAATCACTCATAATTTGTTTAGCTAACTTTAAACATATATTTTACTGTTAGCTATTTCAACCATTTATTCATTTATAGATGATTTTCTTTCAATCATTTATCCATTTTCGCTAACTTTTTTTTAACAATTTATGTTACTTGTGGCTAGTATAGACAGTATACAGAGTGACCAGTAGCCAGGGGACAAAATTAGCACCAACCCCCAGCCAATTGGTAAAGTAGGCTGATAGATTTGCTTCACTCACCAGCCATTTGGCCTGTGGTCAAAAAAAAAAAGTTTGCACCTCCCAGTAGCCAACGGTGGTTAATGTTCGCAACCTGTAACCACAGCTGCTGCTGATGTTCAACAAAAGCTAGTGTCTCTGTAAGTGGTCCACAGTGCGTATTACCTGCACAATATAAAGTATATACCTTTCATACAGTATATTGGGATCTTTTGTTAAATGGAAGAAATTCAATTGGTCTTTTCTTGGAAACTAACAAACCGTTATGTTAACATGTTAAGAATATGACTCAAACTTTTGAGAATGACACTTGGAACTTCCTTCTCCTTACATCAAAGTGTAGGTGTAACCTTTAAGAGCATGTGCATGTGCAGTGTATCAGTATCATAGAGCAACACTCCTATATCTACCCATTTCCTGTGTTAAACATACAAATCTTTACATTTTATTAAAACATAGTAATGGTCCTGAATTCCATGGCATCACAATTGTTCAATCATTTTGTGTTTTCTTTGGTAAACCAGTTCTACATAGGTCATTTGTTCAATGACAAAATTTTCTGTAGTTCCCTTCAGTCAAAGATTTCTTTCTTCTTCTGCACTGTGCACAATGATGTATTTGCAGAGTTCTAACAGCTCCCCTGAAACACCACACATTACTGCTCCCACTGATAACTCAGATTACACTGTATATTTCAACAATTCAAATAATAACAATAATGATTATTTGTGTCAAATGCTGAATTACAACAATAAAGCTCCAGACAATACCGCTCTGTCTGTTTAAAGCTGCAGTAGGTCATTTTTGGAAAAAAAAATACTGGTTGGAAGCAGCAGCAGAAGGGAAGATTGTTCCACTGTCCAACTTCAGAACTGTTCTCATGTGAAAACAGTTACCTAATGGTATTTTCAAGAATCCATTAGGCCCGAATGAAAACAACCAATCAGAGCCAAGAAAGATATGACAACACTTTGGGTTGGAAGCTTGAAGATAGTTGCAAATGTCATTAGGAGCACTAGGAGGAGCCAGAGGCAGATTATCTGTCTCAGGTTCTACAGTCAGGATATAGTGAAAGTTTCTGCAAATGTAACAAAAAGTTATTTTTATAAAAGTGACCTACTGCAGCTCTCTTTCCTGTAAATATCTTACACAAGATTATGGCCTGTATTTAAACATGTACTATACATTAGGAACCCTACATTACTCCTATAAAATACTTACTATCTAAACCACCTCTGAGGAGTAACATATCCAGGTTTCTGATGAATTATGGGAGTACAAAAGCTGGGAACGGCAGGTATTTCTTGTAATGCTGTTATCTTGTGATCACAGGTTACTTAATTCATTATCAGAGGAAACTTCATCCCGAGATAACTACAGTTGAAACCAGAAGTTTACATACACTGTATAAAAAGACACATACGCTTGTTTTTTTCTCACTGTGACATGAAATCAGACAATCACTTTTCCTGTATTAGGTCCGTTAGGATTACCAAAATTATTTCTATTTGCTAAATGCCAGAATAACAAGAGAAGGATTTTTTTAGACAATTTTTTATTACTTTCTTCAAAGTCAGAAGTTTACATACAGTAAGATTGCTATGCCTTTAAATGATTTGGGAAAGCCCAGATGATGATGTCATGTCTTTGGAAGTTTCTGATTTATTGACAACATTTGAGTTAATTAGAGACACACCTGTGGATGTATTTTAAGGCACACCTGAAACACACTGCTTCTTTGTGTAACGTCATGAGAAAGTCAAAAGAAATCAGCAAAGATATCAGGAAGAGAATTGTGGACAAGTCTGGTTCATCCTTGGGTGCAATTTCCAGATGCCTGAAGGTGCCACGTTCATCTGTTCAAACAATTATACGCAAGTATAAACACCATGGGAATGTCCAGCCATCATACCGCTTAGGAAGGAGACGGGTCCCAGAGTTGAACGTGCTGTGGTCCGAAATGTGCATATCAACCCAAGAACAAAAGCAAAAGACCTTGTGAAGATGCTGGCTGAAGCTGGTAAGAGTGTGTCGTTATCCACAGTGAAACGAGTACTGTACCGACATGGGCTGAAAGGCCACTCTGCCAGGAGGAAGCCATTACTCCAAAAGAAACATAAAAAAGCCAGATGACAGTTTGCAAATGCACACAGGGACAAAGACCTTAATTTTTGGAGACATGTCCTGTGGTCTGACGAAACTAAAATCGAACTGTTTGGCCATAATGACCATTGTTACGTTTGGAGGAAAAAGGGGGAAACTTGCAAGCCTGAGAACACCATCCCAACTGTGAAATACAGGGGTAGCAGCATCATGTTGTGGGGTTGTTTTGCTGCAGGAGAGACTGGTGCACTTCACAAAATAGATGGCATCATGAGGAAAGAACATTATGTGGAAATACTGAAGCAACATCTCAAGACATCAGCCAGGAAGTTAAAGCTTGGGCGCAAATGGGTCTTCCAAATGGACAATGACCCGAAGCATACTGCCAAACTGGTTACAAAGTGGCTTGAGGACAACAAAGTCAATGTTTTGGAGTGGCCATCACAAAGCCCTGATCTCAGTCCTATTGAACATTTATGGGCAGAGCTGAAATGGCATGTGCGAGCAAGGCGTCCTACAAACTTGGCTCCGTTACACCAGTTCTGTCAGGAGGAATGGGCCAAAAGTCCTGCCAACTATTGTGAGAAGCTTGTGGAAGGATATCCAAAACGTTTGACCCAAGTCATACAGTTTAAAAGGCAATGGTACCAAATACTAATGAAATGTATGTAAACTTCTGACTTTCAAGAAAGTAATAAAAACATTGTCTAAAAAATTCTCTCATTATTCTGGCATTTAGCAAATAGAAATAATTTTAGTAATCCTAATTGACCTAAAACAGGAAAAGTTTAATCTGATTTAATGTCAGAGAGAAAAAAGATTATGTAAACTTCTGGTTTCAACTGTAGATAACCAACCCATTATCGAGATCTTTTTTACTCAAAGTTTGAGAGATCAGGAGCAGCATGCATAGATGCCGTATTTTCTGCCAAAAGATCCTCCTAAATGTTACACACTGGAACTTTAAATGAACCCTCAGATGTACATTCTGGATAAACCTTTTTCCGGTTAGTCATGAATCCTCCCAAAAGTCATGAAACTGATCTGGAAGGCTGAAAGTTCAGTTGTGTAAAGGCTGAGAATTATCAGTTGATAAAATAGATTTTAAAATTAAGTTATGAGGAAACTTTGCAATAAGTTCCTCAGGTATTGTGTGAAACCATTCCCATTATTTATTGTAACTGTCCATGCCTTGCTCTATATGGGCAATGATGCATGCAAGTGGGTGAGCTGATTTGTTTTGTGCATCCTGTTTCAACTTCTTTTTGTTAAAAAGCTAAAACAATGCTAAGCTAATCAGATGCTACATAACAGCCCAAATGTTCTCACATTAAATGGTAAATGGACCTGTACGTGTATAGCGCCTTTGTAGTCTTCTGACCACTCAAAGCGCTTTTACACTACGTGCCACATTCACCCTTTCACACACACATTCACTCAGTGATGGCCCATCGAAGAACAGGAACTAACGCATTCATTCACGTTCACACATTCATTTGGGGTTCAGTATCTTGCTCAAGATACTCTGACATGCAGTTGGAGGAGCCGGGGATCAAACCAACAACCTTCTGATTAATGGACGACCCGCTCTGCCTCTGAGCCACAGCCGCCCTGGGAATGAGAATCAATCTTTCTCAGCTGTGATTGGTTGGTCTGTCCAGGCTCGGTGGATTATTCCAAATTCCATTAGGAGCACTAGGAGGAGCCAGAGGAACCTGATTGTTTCACAGATTATCTGTCTCATGTACTACTGTCAGGATATAGTGAAAGTTTTAGAAAATATGACAAATGTTATTTTCATAAAAATAACCTATAAATCACCATGCTTTGAAAAACAAAACTTTTAGTAACATTTAGTTTATGTTATTGCTTAGTTTAGTTACAAAATAACAACAGCTACCTGATATGTGCTGGTCTCTGACGGTATAAATGGGTTATATACATTTACTTTTGTTCTAGAATCACATTGCTGGTTTCTTGATTGCTATGCTGTGTTTTAATACCAATATATACATTTCTTACTATGACTATCCTGTCTTCTACACAGTACCACTGAAATGAAATCACGTGAAACACAAGTACAAGAAAACTACATTTAATCATTCAACTATGAAGATTACAGCCATAGCATGCATAGTAACACACCAACACAAAAAGTACTTCAAACACTTCAATATCAAAAGTTAAGAATACAATCAACACTTCTTATTAGTGGTGCGATGCTTATTCCAAGTCAGCTTAGAAAATTTATGTCACTACACCATATTACAGCCCCCGCCTGTGGGTAGGGGGGCTGTATTGTGATGTCAAATCTATCAAATGATTCTGATGGCTTAAGCATTCGTCTGTATGCAAATGCAAGTTTTTGCAGGCTATAGTTTTCAGTCCATTTTCTGTAGTGTCCCCAGGTCAGTTCTGTTTCATACTAGAACAAGGAGTGACCAAAGCCACAAATCCTGCACGTACTGTGAGGGGCTTTACGGTAATTCAACACCTTCAACAAACTTCAACTGTCCTGACTTCCTTATGAATACAATCATACAATCGTGGTATTTTGAGCTTTTTCTCTAAACATACTAGAAGGATTGAACAGGCTTTCATATAGTGTAATTCGGAGATTTTGTCCAGTCAAGGTCCTGACTGATGGGAGGAAGTCATTTATTACATGAACTCCTTTAACTGTGGAGCTTTTCATGTCCTTTCAGTATTTCCCCCCCCCCCAAATTTATTATTTTTTAAAAAATATTACAGTAGGTTTTTTTTTTTACCTAATTGAAAAACCAATCTAATTACCTAAACTAATCACTGACATCCTGTGGCTTTTTCTTATAAATTATAGCCTAAAATATATCAATAAAATAATAATAATGATAAAATACAAAATGACAAAATTCAAAGCTATTTAAAAAAAATGACATAGCACCTGACCCATTGTTTTCTTAAAGACACAGCCGAGTTTCGCTACTGTTTGCGTGGTTTTTAAAACAAGAAAATAGGTTCTACAAACTTTGTTCAGTAACAATGTTATTTTGGTTTTTCTGATGAAAATACATCTACCAAAAGCAGATTTCATAAGAAATAAAAAGATTAAATAAATTTTATTGAAATACACTACAAAAGATAGAAAAATAGTTCTAGAATTACAGTTGGCAGCAGACTGGCTGGGCTCAGAGGAGGTGGCTGGTTGGTGTGGTGGGCTCACATGATGGAGCAGTTTCTCTTGGCAGTGTGAGGTTCTCCCTGCACAGAAACATTCATGGTACCATCAGACATGCTGTCAATGGGCCGACAATGCCTTACAGTCAGACAGACAGCAGCTTCCTCTGTGCATCAGAGCAAGGTTACTAGAGAATGCACCTAAGACGCATTGAGGACGTACTGAGACCTGATCACACAGACCACATTCAGCGGTGGTTAAGGCGGCATATAGCTGCGTTCAGACTACTAAAAAAAAACTTACAATTTAAAGATTTGTTGTGTGAGGAGAAACTTTGTGAAACACGGTCTATGGCAAATTCTTATTATGTGGGTGTTCTTGTAAATTTAGCAAATGTTATACATGAAGTTATTTATTTGTTTGTGTAAAAACAGTGTCCGTTTGTATAGCATATAGCAGGATATTGAGCCTGGCAGGAGAGACGTTTTGTTTGCAATCTGATGTGAAAACCTCAGATTTCCACACAGTCAGAGAAAGTAACAGTGTTTGTCCTGCTCATGAATTAAGTTATAAAATCCCACAATGCACCACAGAGCGTCTCTCCTGCAGGGCTGCTGCAGTGTGGAGCGGAACTGAACAATAATACAGTGTTTATTTGCATATAGAGCAGGGAAGTCAGATCACAAGTGGTCACTCATTTTAATAGCAGGTGTAAACTGATGTACTTAAAGCTGTCCACTTGTGATCAGATCACCCAAGACGCATGTTAATAGCAGGTGTAAACAGAGCCTAAGTGTCGCTGTAAATATTTTAAACAAATGTGTGTGTGTGGTTGGACTTGTATCAGAGCAATCTCTGTACTGACAGTGTTGCCGGTAGTCTCACCTGCTGGTGGAAGAGGTCTTCCTCAATGGCCTCCACTCCGCTATCATCATCGTCCTCATCCCGCTCTTCTACTGCCGTCTTGTATGTTGTGATTCTCTTTGCCACCTCCTGCCACGCACACAAAAAAATGTTGCTTCAGCTTTTTTGCCAGAAAAACAAACCAGACTGGGCAACAAAGACCAGATGTGGGTACAGATGGGTGACTCATACACTAGCCTAGAGGTGGTGGTGATAGCAAATTATTGCAATCTGTATGTACACACTCAGACAGAATTGGTGACAAAGATTGTGTGTGTGTGTGTGTGTGTGTGTGTGGTCTCACCTCTCCCTGAGGGTTGATCAGTGCTACCTGGACATCCTCCCCTGAACCCCAGGATGACTGGTTCTTCCACACGAGGTCTGTGGGAGGTTTGGAGCTCACTCCGGCATTGGACGCCCAAACCTTCAAACAGCCACAAAAGAGTTCAAACAGCCCTAAAGTCACGGTCATATTCAACCCAGAGCATACACTGCATCCTTAAAGGGATTTTATGTTTACCTAATGTTACACACTAGACCTGTAACAGTCAGTCTGTCTCTTTCAGTCAGTCAGTCAGTCCTCTTACCGTGACTTTGTGGCCAGCCTTCAGGACATATTTGGGTGTGAACTTGTAGGTGGCTGCAGCACTTCCAATTGTCTTAATCATCTCATAACCCACCATGGCCTGGTCCTGAGACAGACAACATCATTAACAATGAGGAAACAGTTCTGATGTACAACGGTTCAGCTGTATCTCCACATGAACATTTGGTAGCTGGAGCTCACCTCATCTCCAGTGTTGAGCAGGCAGATGAACTTGCCGTCCGTATCAATCTCGTCGATGCAGATGGGTCCCGTGGCCGAGGCCGAGTGAGCGATGGACACCGAGCTACTGGCTTCCTGTTCCTCCACATCAACACGCTTCCTCTTTCCCTGAGTGGTCCGCACACTGCGGCTGCTGGACGAAGCTCGGGACACCGTGACACGGGACGAAGGACTTGGAGATAGCTTCAGTCTGGGGGGCAGAAAAACCAGTTAGACATCCAGGTCACTGATGGGGCTGCGTTAGAAATGAACAGGAATGGAACTATTGCCATCCCTACCTTTCTTCTTCTCCCTCCAGAAGTTTGCGGTAGGCGTTGATCTCCATGTCCAGAGCCAGTTTTACATCCAGCAGCTGTTCGTACTCGTTCAGCTGCTGCAGCATCTTGGCCTGGATCTCAGCCATCTCGCGGTCTTTGTCGGCCAGCAGCTTGCGACTTGTGTCTTTCTCCTGAGCCAAAGCCGCCTCCAGCTCCATTATACGATCACGCCAGCCACGAGTCTGAATATGGACAAGGAGGTGTGTCACAGAGCAAGACAACACGTAATCGTGTGTAATTTAAGAAACGTGTTACTGGCTGAAATAACATCACTGCTGAGGACAATAAATCCAGTGTGAAACATAACTAAATAAAATACTAAGGGGGCTGTATTTGTTGGCTTAAGTTTTTCTTTAACTTTTCAATTACAGTCTTGGAGTGTTCCTGCAGGTTTCAACAGCAACAACCTCTGTTGTGATTTACAGTGGCTCAACAGTGCGGTATTACCGCCCTTCTCTTTGTTTTTGCAGATTACTTTAATAAATACAAGCAGGTTCTGAGAAAGTGGTAGCAGAGTCCCACTGATGTATCTGTATATTGGTGTCGCTGCAAACTCTATCCAGCAGGGTTCGCTGTGATTTACAATACTGTGGCAAGCAGCGCAGAGTAAGAGAGAAGTGTTCAATAATTTAACATGGTAAAGAATAAAATCGATTTGAAAAAAATGAGTAAGGGTGCCAACACAGAGGGATCCAGCTAAAAACGCTGAGAAAAACATTGCTCAACTTTTGCCTCAATGCAGCATGACAGCTTATTTGTACCGTTTTCCTCAGAACTCATTTTCCAGGACCTTTCCAGGACATTTTCTCACAAAATATTTTCTCATAGAAGTTATTGGTAGGCCTAGTACTGAAACCTTTTTTAAAGTGTTACTCCACGCATCTTATCCTACCAACACTCGAGTTTCAAGCAAAATACGTACCCAGGATTATGTATGTGATTTGAGTGAAGGGTGTGAAATAAAAAATCTTCCAGGACAACATAGCATATCTCCAAGATACTTGGTCATTTTAATTAATGTCCAGGTACCTCCATGACAAGAAAACTCTACATTTCCAGATTTTTGAGGACACGCTGGGACCCTGGATTGAGATAAAGGTGGCTGGCTTTCGATTTCACAGGGTTTTATCACATACTGCTGCATAGGAAAGCACTTCTAATTCAGTCACAAACTTAACTTAATGAGTGGAATAAAATGCTAACCTCTTTCTGCAGTCCTGCCAGCTGGGCAGTGAGGCTCTCAATCCTCAGGGCAGACTCTCTGAGCTCCTCTCGGGCCATGTTGGCTGATGCTCCGTTCATCTCAGAAAAGCGACGCAGGTCCTCCAGCTGGAGACAGACACACAGATGGTTCGACAGTCAACAACATCAACAGCGTTTCCTCCTCATTAGAGCTCAAAAGAGGAACCGAGCAGTGTCAGTCACTTCCTGACATGCAGGAAGTTAGTAAAGAGCTGTACGGTATGTTGGCTCTCTTATACGTGTTAGTTTCACTTTACTGTTGCTTACTTGCACACAGTGTATGCAGTCATCATACTACACAAAGCATAACATTGTATTCTGCCATTTACCTTCATGAATTTATTCTGGTGGCGGCGCTACAAGCAGTCGGCCAACCTGTGTTTTCCTGAAGCTACCAACCTTCACTTGTTTAAGAATTTGTTCTTTTTTCATGTTTTGATGGCTCACACAAAAGGTCCAATTGCAAATGTGTGCTCAAAAAGGTCAGAATATCAACAAAAAGAGTCAAGAGAGCAAAAGCAAACATCCCTCTCTTTCAACACAGTACATGAAACCACAGGTTGACACATGCGTCATTTACTGAACATGAAATAATAAATGTATCAGTTTACATCAGTTAACATCACACCTACTGTAATACTGTCCCTGGCAGACAGCTCGGATAAATATGCTTTGAGTGACAAATAACACCTTGTCTGCAGTGATGTCATTGAGTGTGACCTGTAAATGTTGTGGGTCCCAACCAAAGTTTCATGGTAGCTGGCAAGGCCTTCTGGTTTTAAATGGTGTAAGAAAAACCGAAACCTATATCTCAGTATTTCATCTTTTCAGTGCAGAAAAAAAAAATAAAGATAAAATAAAGATAAATAAAGTTTAGATTATCATTTAAGCTATAAACAGGATAAGAGCACAATGAAGACCTGAACACAAGCTATATTCAAAGAGCCATCACTCTCTGATAAACAGTGCCCCTGTACACTAAACCAGCTTCATAAAGAAGAACTTGACTGAACCCTGTCCAACACCTCTGGGATGAACTGGAACACAAACTGTGATCCAGGCCTGATCACAGGGGAGGCAGTAGCTCAGTTTGTAGGGACTTGGCTTGGGAACCGGAGGGTTGCCGGTTCAAGTTCCACACGCCATAATATGGAGTGTTGACTGGTAGCTGGAGAGGTGCTGTTTCACCTCCTGTTCACTGCCGAGGTGCCCTTGAGCATGGCAACCTAACCTTGCCATCACTGCATGTCTGCAAGTGCTGGACCTCACTAATGCTATACTGGCTGAATTCAACAAATCCCTGCAGCCAGCAACATCTGGTGGAAAGCCCTGCTCTAGCAGCACAGTAAGGGCTTTAGTGTTGAATGTTCAGCTATAAGGGTGTATTGTCGCACTGTCTACATACATACTGTGGTCACAGTATAGTGTAGTTTTGACTCATAAGTTAGAGTATATATTGTTACGTAGGATGCATTATTATGGGACAGGAGGATATGTACCGAGTGTGTGTGTGTGTGTGTGTTTTCATACTTTGGTCTGGTAGGTGCTCCCCATGTTGTCCTTGTAGATATTGATCTGCTCCTCGTTCTGAGCCCTCATGTCGGCCAGGGCCTCAGTCAATTTATATTCGTACTCTTCCTTCCTTCCGGAGTCCACCTCCACCAGTCGGGTCTCGTACCGGTGCCGAGCCTCCTTCACTTCCTGTAGCACAGCACACAGTCAGCACTCAGACAGCACTCAGACAGCTCTGATCCTGTCCTGATTAATTAAAACCAACTGTGGTTCGGTTGCACAAATTAAAACATGTAACGGAAAGGAAGTGATTCATCAATTTTATTTAAAAAAAAATTATTAAGACATTCAATCGTTATTTGCAACTGAAAGTTATAATTTCTGACTGTGTCATAGAGCTCCACTGTTGTCCAAAAACTATTAAAAACTCATCAGTGAGCCACACTACTGCACTGGCTGACCTCCATTACCATGAACACACACACTGTACTTTTGACTCAATCCCACATACACCACCCTGCTGCCTCAAATACTCACTCTAGCACCAAATGTAGATTAATCCGCCGCTGAAAATAGTCCACAATAAATGCAATATTTCCTCCTGTTTGAGTAACAGAGGATAAAAACTACAGTGACCAGTTGTTTTAGAAAAATAACTACTACTTAAATTAACTATACACACACACACACACACACACACATATATATATATATATATATATATATATATATAAAACAACACCAGCTTTATCATTTAAGTGTGAGCAGCATTGGCCCCAGAAAAATCCTAATCAGAACCTCCCTAACACCACAGCTCAGACCTTAAATTAAGATGGCGTCTTCTAAAGTTATCTGAAAAGCAGCCCTGATTCAGTGCTGATTCAGCATTAAATCGTAACATCACATTTTGAGAAGTAGCATAATAATGTTGCTAAATGATAGTTGCATAATTGGTCTGAATAGTATGCCAGCCACAGGCCCCAAATTAACTTTTTCCTCCATAACTGTCCAAAATTCTACTTTCAACTGTCCCAGACTTAACAACCATTGTCCCTTAAGTTTTTCTTAACTTTGATTCAGTAACTTGCAAAACGTCACTGACTCACTGTCCACTATGAAAGGGCTGCTCAGTTTTTCCCTGCACATATCTGAATTTAAAAAACATTAAATCACAATCCGTGTTCATTATTCTGTTCACAGTCGTTGGTTGAGTTACTGTTTGGTCAATAAATGGTAAGAAAAATAGATGGACATGTACATACACACGTTCTGAACATTATTAGCACTTAGCCAACTAATCACAAACTACTGCAGGGACATCGTATATTTCACGTATAAAAAAAAAAATTACAAAAAACCTCCAAAGGGAGGGAGAAGATCAAACGGATTATTAAAATATTGACATGCTCTCAATATTTAAATTGACACACACACACACACACACACACACACACACACACACACACACACACACACACACACACACACAATGGTGTGTCATGGCTCCTGTCAGTGGGTGGGATATATCAGGCAGCAAGTCAACATTTTGTCCTCAAAGTTGATGTTAGAAGCAGGAAAAATGTGCAGTGTGAGGATCTGAGCGACTTTGACAAGGGCCACATTCTGATGGCTAGACGACTGGGTCAGAGGATCATGACTACCAATATGACTACCAGGTGGTCAGAATGTTATGGCTGATCGATGTATAATTTATGTTTCTTCCCTTTTCCCTGGGGGTCTGAATACATTTGTCACTAGTCACTTTTTAGAACTAAAGTCAGTGGGTCTGAAAAGTTGCTAAATCTAGCAAGAATGTTTCCAAGTTGGCAACATTAGCTCTCTATGATTGATATTGTGGGTTGTACGCACTAGGGACGTTACAAGAACCGATATTTCTGTACCAAGTCAATGTACTCTTTTTCTACAGTACCATAGGTAAGGAGATACATACACATGCATACATTCATAAATACATAGCTGTATATCAGAAGCTTGTGACAACTAGTCGACTATTGGCTTTATCAAACGTCTACTGTTGAAGAAGAAAATCTTTAGTCTGGGACAGTCCTAATTCAGACAACTGATTCGGCATCAGTATCATTAACCATGTATGTGCCCTTAGTGTCAGAGACACATCTACTGTAAGTCAATAGAACTCTCACCTCCTCGTGCATGCTCTTACGGAAGTCCATTTCCTCAGTAAGACTCTGGCAGCGGTTTTCTAAGTCCACACGCAGGAGCATCTCATCGGCGAGGTGCTTCTTGGTCTGAGTGATACCTGTATCCAGCTGACATCACACACACAAAACAACAGGTAGTACAAGATTAGAATAAAAGTAGGTAATGATCACAAATATATGAAATAAATATTAATAAATATAAATATTTTGAAATTGCTATCAATCTCTCTGCAGCACTCCATTAATGTTGAAATAAAATATTCCTAGCCTCATCATATTCACCTCCTGCAGCTGTTCCTTCAGGTCGGCCAGTGTGGCCTCCAGGCCTCTCTTCTCAGACAGCGCTGTAGCCAGCATGGCATCTTTAGAGTTCAGCTGAGCCTCCAGGTCCTTCAGCCTGGCCTGGGCTCCTGCTGCCTCTGAATCCTTTTTGTTGTAGCTGAAAGGTTTTGGGCAAGGCATGGTGAGTGCATGTGGATGGGAGTGTGACAGTTGAAACGTGAACACTGCCATTGAGGAACTAAGTTACTCCTCCTAATACAGCTCTGACATACAAAACCAAACCTGATGAAGCAGGTTCACACACACTAGTGGATGTTCACAGACTGCACTGTGGAGTACGTCAATAATGTCCTGCCTAAACTACTCTCCACACACTACCACCTACTGCTGCTTCACCTGTAGCTTGCTTTCCCTTCTGTGCCCTGCATGGGCCCACTGGAGGCTGTCTCAGTCAGAGTCCTTTTTAAGAAATGATTTTCCAGAACCAGGACAGTTTGTAGGAGTTTTTAAATTGACAATACAGGACAGCACTTGCCCCCAAACAGTCATACAATTCACTAGCAGGCCTAGTATTGAATTGATTGTATCAGTGTCTCAGGTTTATTACAGTTAGGTGGTCAGCGTTTTACATGGGACAATCCACATTAGCTCGCTTATGCAGTGCACCCGGCTGTTCTCACCACAGCTGATTTCTCCACTGTGCTCTCCAGAGAATTGACTTTTACTACAGTTTTTCTCTTGCCATAACATTATGGCCATAGCCCATGGTCACAGTTCAAATCAAGTTGTAAACTCAGGGATGTAAATGAGGAGCTAAATACAATTACAATTTTCCTAGACAACATAATTTATTTCCAGGATTTTTGGTCATTTTACTCAAATTCCAGATGGCTTTATGACTGAGAACTAGTCTCTAAATTTCAAGTTTTTCCAGGACATGTGGGAACCCTGTCCGTGTTAGGGGCCTTGGGTCAGGGTTAGAGAGCTGAGGGCCTAGTGGAGCTTGCTGGAGGCTGGATATGGGATTTGGGTTAGGCTCAAGGGGCTGAGAGCTGGTCATGAGCAAGGAGAGCCTGTTGGAGGCATCTTATTAATTCTGAAAACAGGTCAATTATTTGTTTTTCCAAGTGAATGCAATACACTTCCATAGTACGGTGTGGGATAGTACAGTGTTTCTCAACCTGGGGTCCTTGAGGGGGTTTCAAGGGGTCCCCAGAAAAATTTTGATTTTTAAAAGATTTCACTATTATTTAATTGGTTAAGAGTTAGCCAAATGAGAGAGACAGAAGTATAGACATATAGTGATAGAGCATCTAAATCTTAGCAGAAAAGGATCCCTGAGACTTTATCTTATCAAATACGGGTCTGTGGCCTCATACGTATCAATTTAGGGGTACTTGGCGGCAATAAGGCTGAGAACCACTTATATAGTATATCACTGAGGGTAGTTCTGTCGTTAAAAGGTTAGAGTGGTTCCTGCTGCCAGAGGGCTGTGCTCAGCACAGTTTACAGCAAACAGGGTCCTCTGGTGGCCACAACAGAAGTGACAAATGGGGAGAAACAGAGGAGCTTCTTATTTGTGTCACCACTGCACTGCAAACACATTTCTATGATTTTGCTTAGGTTTTGCATTTTTCAAATTGTTCCTGTTTAGATTGTCTAAATTCCTGAATGCTTTGATTTAAAAACATACTGACGAATGAGAACCACATATTTCACGTTCAAAAACACATTAGACATCCGTTTCCCAGCTCTGAGCTGGGGTTAACTGAGTCAACAGTGGAACTGTTTCAATGAGTTTGTGAGTAAAGTAGTCTGTCGGAGGAGCTCTGCTGGGATTCAGTCCAGTTATTTCCTCATGGTGTGCCTCTGAGGTTACGATGGGTGGGTGGGACAGCTGCTAAAGTGGACAAACTATGAGTGGAATGTACTGGGGTATGTCTGCTTTCTCACATTTTACTGAGAAACATTAACTGGGAGGCTAAAGCACTGACCCGACAGGCTCTTGCTATACAGGAATATTTTCAGCAAGATTACAGCAGTGCACAACACATACCAACTCTTTAAAGTTCTAATACAGCTTCAAACATGTGGCAGATTACAGCAGTATAGTGAAAACCAGCTCTTCTTGGTAAGCTTGCTAGGTTGTTTTAAATCACTTTTTGATGCTAAGTAGATATTAAAGTTAAAAGGAGGCTTTAGTCTTTACTAGTGATGAAAGATTGTACTGATGGCACTTTCAAAAACCATCTAACAACTTAAATCAATTATAAGACAAAATATGCACATTAAGTAGTCACCATGACTACTGCCAAATGTAATCTGTGTATGCAACTGCGTCATAGATTGTTCCCTTTTACACCTGAAATGAACACAGCCTGAATGAGCTGACTGTTATCTGCAGCATTTTAGGTTTGAGGTCAGATTAGATGTAGATATGAACACCAAACCAGTTCCACAGGTAGTATGGGATCCTTTTAGCCACATTAAATGCAATATCCAAATTCAGTGTTTCTCTAGTCCACAAATGGTAAATGGACCTGTACTTGTATAGCGTCTTTCTAGTCTTCCAACCACTCAAAGCACTTTTACACTACATGCCACATTCACATTTTCACACACATTCACACAGTGATGGCCCATCAAACAGAAACTAACTCATTCACTCACACTCACACACCGCAATGTGGGAATCAATATCTTGCTCAAGGATACTTTGACAGGAGGAGCCGGGGACCGAACCAACAACCTTCTGATTAGGGGACGACCCGCTCTGCCTCTGCACCACAGCAGCCCCAAACAAACTGTTCACTCAGTTGTAAGTACTTTCCCCAGTCTTTGTTGTAGTTGCATTTCCTTTTCTTTGAGGTATTTTCCATCATATTCTGCCTGAATCTGCATAGCGTGTGACTTTGTGGTGACTCCAATCAAATTACAATTTTCCCTGTCCCTAGGGTACCAGTTTGCGCCCAGTTTGAATGACAACAAACACAGCCTCGTGATGACAGCCTTCTTTGCTTTCTTTACAGCTACTGGATAAAAACTAGATAGTAGAAAAGAATTTGTCATGGGACAAGAGATAAAAATGCTGTGCAGTCCCACACAAAAAGGGACCCCATGTCACCCTATCCCCTGCACGAAAAACAGCTTCTGCATCACGCCAAAGCCTTCACAAGTTGTTGTGGCGCATGGTTGTGCAGTTGTGAATTTCTGGGACTAGGTGTCCAGTGTGATCACTGTCAGCTTCTCTTGGTCCCACAAAATGATACAACATATGATGAAATCAGAATGCATGAACAAGTTGCAGGATATAAACTATTTATTGTGCAATGTAGAATGGAACTTCAAAATAAAAGACATAGGTCAACAACTTTAACAGCTGTAGATACAGGGCGTGTTAAAAATGGAGATAAAGTGGACTAACAGGTTGTGTCAACTGGTTGAGCACCAGATTCAGACAGGCAATCACTGCCACCTGTGTTCTGCTGTCAGACTGCCTGACACAGCACTGCCTCTGTTCAACAACGCACAACGGCTCAACACCTGACCGCTCACACTCAGCAGCACTGTGCAGCATGTACAATATCTGGGAAACAGTACACTCTCCATGGAGACCTTACACTGTATTTATTTAGTAACAGTGGAGCTGTGCCTCATTTGTAACACCATTCTGTGGGATTTTACACACAAGTGAAATCAAAGTTTTTTTCCTGCTAGTTTGGCTTCACAGGCAGCTAAAGGGGAAAAAAAATACAAACAGCTGTGGGTGCCTCAACACACACACTGCTTGGTGTTTATTAAAGAAAAACATTAACATTCTTCTAACACATTTTAACAATTAACTGCACGCTTGATCAGCTCATTTTATTTCTGTAAAAGCTGTTGAATTGCCACCTTCAGGAGGAAGCGCTCCATTGTTTATTCATACGCTTCAGGTCAACAGCTGTGAGCAACAGCTGCTGCTGTCAAATTCTGTGGGATATACGGGAACACACACAAACACTCGTGTTTCATGAGTATGAATTAGTGGTCAACCGGTATGGGTTTTAATGGCCGATATTTAGAGAGCAGGACTGCTGATGGCCGAAAGGCAGGCCTTGTGAGTACAGACAGCGGTTGATGCTGATTATCTCAAAATGCCTATTAATCTGTCTATCACTAGTATGAATACACAGGTGCTGTGCAAACAATTGACCATTAAAATAAATACAGTTCAGATATTAAAATTATGTAATTTACATGTCTGAGGCACATTTACCTCTCAGCGCATAGTAATTCTGTTTACCACTTGAATCGTAGCAAAAAACTAGGGATGAACAATATACATCAGGGGAAAAAGAATGTATTAAATGATATATTAGCCAACAATGGGAAATCTTTCTTATTATGCATTATTCCGATTATGAAATTACAGCCGATAAATTATGGTCCATAACACTTTAAGTTTTTTTTTGTTCAGTTTTTAATGCAATACAATAGATAGGCTTTATGTTCAATGAAAGCCGAAGTACGTTTGCGAGGTTTTTGATTGTACTTTACTAAAAAAAAAAAAAAAAAATATGTTTTGTTGTTGTGTGTTTTGATGGCAGATTTGGTTGGTCAAAGCTATGGAATATTAAATCACCCATGTTTGCTCACTACACCTCAGCATTTCTTACCCTAAGATGTCTGACAACTACAGGTTTGGAACTTCTTTATTGAATACAAAATTGTATCCATCAGCAATGAGAAACATGTAACAATTGATTATTGTTATTATTATTATTATTATTATTATAACTACTACTGGGTTGAAATAATATTGTACATCCAAGAAAAAAAAAGAAAAAAAACGGGATTGTCCAAAAACTAATTGTCTCATGAAAAACAAAAGCAGTTAAACTCTGCACTGTTGTGTGAGGCTTCTGTTCTGAACATATACTACCGGTAGACCCTGAAGGCACCATGTCACCTTCATGAACGCTCGCTCTTGCGCGTTGTCTGTCAGTCTAATTAAACCACAGGCACATTTCTCTAAATAAATGGTGTTTTTTATGCTTACTCAACCTACTCGAGCGTTCATTCAGCATTAGACGTTGTACAAGTTAACATTTTTACAAGCCGAGCTGATTTCTCTGTAAGCAGCACAGACAATGGTGGGCGGACAACGGCCACTGTCAATCATTCTAAATCATTCAAAACGTTCATTATTTTTTAACCATTCTTAACAAGTGTGCTGATTGTAATCTGGTGTAAACGAACTAAGAGAGGGTAAAATACAAAAGTAAGATTTTTATAGGCCGGATTTGAGTGACGCTCTCACCAAATGAGAGAACGTAACCCCGGACGGACCTACGTGCTCTGTGCTGTGAAAGTGGCTCGAAAATCAAAGTCAACATTTAGCAAGTAGCTAATCGTCCCGAGCTCCTGTCCCTATTAGACACTGTAACGTGATTAAAATGTTACGGGCTTACTTCTGCTGCAGCTGCTCATGCTCGGATCTGATCTTTCCCAGTTCGATCTGCAGCCAGGCCCGCTCCTTGGAGGAGTCATCCAAACACCTCCTGGCGTCGGCTAGCTCGGTCTCGTACAGGGCTTTCAGTCCGGTTACCTCCCGGCTCCTCACTTCTTCCTTCTCGTTAATTTGCAAGTGCAGCACGTCGTTTTCAGACTCCAAACTGCGGACTTTGTCGATGTAAACGGCCAGGCGGTCGTTGAGGTCCCGGAGCTGCTGTTTCTCCTGCAGTCGGGTTATTCTGGTCGGGCTCAGCGGTGTGCCGCTGCCGCACGTGCTTCTCTGGCTGGTCGGAGTTGCAGTCGCCATTGTGAAAGAGTCGTTAAATAACCCGTAGGAACGACAGTAAACAAACCGAGCCCGGATACCGCCTGTGCAGGTGTAACGAGAGGTTTCAAGCGCTCAGCAACGACCGGCACTTCGGAAACTATTCTGGACGTAAACCCTATCTTTTTTTAATCGAATGAAAGAGGGGTTTGGTTTCCTAATATGGCGGCTCATTGAAAAAATTACGTTGTCTAGAGCTAGCCAATGGCGGGGCTCGGCGCAATGCGTTCTTTCAACTTTAACTTTTGGGTTTACATGTAAGCTCTACCGGCGTATGCCGACAATATCCCGGACAGGCGGAGTCAATCGCCATTACGTTTACTTATAAACTGACTTTAGAACTTTTTTTAGCAAAAATGATCATTGATACAATTACATTTTTGAAGATACCATCTTATATTAGTTTCAGACACGCAGACCTAAACATATATTTGTAACACATTGTAATCACATTGGAAAACATGTAACGCAAACTTGACAAAACTAACGTTATCAATTTATGTAGATGAACCTGTTTCATGTATTTGCTCTTTTTTGTAAAATAAATATAGCTGAAAACGTGGACTTTTTTGGAAACATCACTTATGAGATCTTTTGTTTTGTATTGTCCAAAATTGTTTTTCATTAATGTTAAAAGAAATCAAAAGAATTACCAGCTTAACCCCGTTTGGTGAATCGAGGCGTCCCCGCAAGAATATCAAGCGCGGCCTACATTTTCCGATAACGACTCGCCTGAAAGCCTTTCATTGTATCAGTTCTTGTAGTAGAGCTCTACTATCAGGCGGTAATAAAGTGGACATGGAGAAAAGAGAAGACATTTTGTTACAGATATTAGTGTTATGAGGGCCCGAGCACTGACAAGTGCAAGGACCTATTGTAATTGTAAGAATTCTACGTTATTATTATTATTATTATTTTTCTGCGCCTTTGATCGCATTTTGAACACTTTCCCATGCTCGACAGCTCACGAAACTTTGCACAAAATTTAAACGTGGCCAAACTCGACGTATGCAATTGTCCCCCCCAAAACATCTGCTTTTAGTGTCTTGTGTTCAATTGTGTCAGTTGTGCTCAAATCCTTGAATATAGCTCTCCCCAGATAAAGTAATGATTGTATTATTTAGCCATGCCATTGATAGCGTGGATTCTGCATGACTCAGACTTTCAGACATTCAACGACATGAGTATGACTTGAGAGCATTTTTGAGGAAGATTGCAGGCCTAACAGGAAAGGAGGCTAAAGTTTGACAGATATGACCTTTCCCTATCAAAAGTAGGGCTGGGCGATATGGCCTGAAAATAAAATCTCATGTGATTTGTTCACACCAAACCTGATTTATGATTTAATTGATTTTGTTTCTTAAAAGCAAACGAAAGACACTATACTGTATCTTTGGCAACATGATACTCCACTGCATCATGTCTTTTCACTGGGGCCCCTTTTATCATATGACATAGTGTGGGAAAGTAATTTTACACATGTGTAGATGAGTGACATGCTGCATACAAAAGATAGAAAAAGCAAGAAAAAAATAGATGTTTTGTGTTTGTGTTATACTTAAATACTTACACATACTTAAAAAGTATATTTTGCCAGTGGAATTATTTTTTGTTACATTCAAAACATGTATTTACCCTTTAAATTTAACATTGAAGTGTATTTTCTAATCCCTTTATTGACCCCAGACAAGCCATTTATGGCCGTTTCATTATGATGGCATATGTCATACATTTCTTAATGTAGACCACTAACAATACATGATACAGTTACATATCATATGTTGCTGAATTCAGCACAGTCAGACCTTTCTAACAAACCCTGGTTGGTGTGTCTGGGACAATCCCAGTCAAAGCTAACTTAAAGTAAATAAATACATTCATCATAGATCCTAAAATTGGTTATTTCCACCTAATGTACTTCAGTGTTTGTAGTCCTGTATTTCTTCACTGCATCAAGATTCACATTCTGTTTTATAGACATGTAGAGGAGCCCCCTGCCCACTTCCACACCAAATGTGGTATCAATCAGAGCTTGCATTATGAAATTACATGAGTTCAGGTGTACCATCTCCCATTCAGCCTGGCTTTATTTTGCACTTATTTTATTCACGGGGTGTGTCACAATATCGGTCAATTAAACCACTTTTGCAGTAAAATATTTTTATACAAGAATCCATTTCTTATATGGGAGACCTTGGAGAATATAAAAAACATTGTTGTGCTTTGTTCTACCTCCGGTAGAGGTATCTCAAAAACTAAAGCACTTTTAGGCCTTACCCTCTAGCCTATTTTTGACATGTTGAATATAAATTTTTTGCTGGATCAAAGCATATTATTGAAACTGAAACTGTTCTGAATCCAGTGCAAGCACTCCTTGCAGTTTTTGAGATACTGCCATTTATAGGGGGTTACTCGTTTTATGTCTCTAAGGTCTTCACAATGGAAATACTTTTTTATTTAACCTTTATTTAACTAGAAAGTCCCTTGTGATTGAAATCTCTTTTCCGAGGAAGACCTGTAGGCGGCTGCATATATGAAAAAAAAACCTAACCCTAAAAAAATTTGAACAAAAGGTTTTCTCAGCTGTTTTTTGTAGTATTAGGTGTCCTTAATAACATACTAAAAGTTTACCAAAGTTTGACCACTAGAAAGGTGTAATTTTCAAGATGGCGTCCAAGATGGGCAGGAAGCCCTTAAAGGGACATTGTGTAGGAATTTCTCCCATCTAGCGGTGAAATTTTGCATTCAAACGAATAGTGCTCTCTAGTGCCTCGCGTTTTCAAATGCGTATTGCAACTACGGTAGCCGTTATGTACCAAGAAGCCTACCTGTCGAGGAGAAAGCAGGCAACTTCAGTGTCCCTTTGAAAGTCTTTCTCCTTCATTAGCTCTTTCCACCTGGGAAAAGCTACCCCGATGTTTACCCTCGTTTTTTGAATTCCCCACGTTGCCTTTTTAATTCCCTTTTTGCTTTTCTGGCGACGAGGATTCCTTCTCCTGTGGCTCGGCATAAGTATGATCCTCCATTATGAACTAAAGTGCAGTGCAGACTTTCAAATGTGCCGGGGCAGTGACAAGCGCCTCTCACTGATCTCCTTCTCCGTTATAGCTGGTTTCAGTCACGTGACGCTGGTTCTGAACGAAAAAAGGGGTGGGGATTAGCTAGACAGGTAGGCTAGTACTTTATGTCCCTCTCTGCGATGAGTTTTACAAAATGGTGGAACGCCACGGAAGCCTCCATGGACTTGCCCATACAGATAAGAAATTCTTCACTTAGAAGGATAAGTCAGATCATTGGCAGAGGTAATTTTACATCAATGAGGACACATTTATGACATTGATTTTAGCTAATAAAATACTTAAAACACTACACAATGTCCCTTTAAAATATCCTAACGCCTTCATTATTTGACATAGCCAAGTAATCTTGGTGTCTAACCCCATGTTTTCTGGGTCTATGAATCCACTGGACGTGTCTAAATTGCATTACTGGCCAAGACAGCACACCAGTTACAATTCAAATTAAAAATAAAAACAATTGACAGGGGAAACAAACATCACACACACAAGGAAAGGCCTAAAACCAGCTCATATAAAGCAATTTTAACATCGCCTTATAGTTTTCCAGTGGTGTTTTTTCGTTTTCCAGATTGCTGCCATCCCGATGCAGATACAGGACCATGGCCTGTAAACGTGCTGGCTATGGCAGGAGTTTCGTACCTTCTGCCATAGCGTCTTAAAACAAGGCATCCTGGTAACAGCCGTGAGTGAGTGCTTCACACAGGACAGGGAGGGGTAAGTGTGCTAAAGGTGGTGTAAGTGTTTATTCTTGTTGTTATGTCGTGGTGTCCATATGTGTTTTTTTTCTTTTTCTTTTTTTCGTATCTATGTATGTATGTACAGACTTCGGTAACAAATTTCCTGTGAACGACAATAAAGTATAAAGTAAAGTATAAAGTATATTATTTGTACATTAAGAAGCAGTATGTTTTGCAAATTATTCCAATCATTCCCAAAACTGGACCAAGAAAAAGGTATCTATATTGTAACAATCAATCAACCCCCAGTGACTAACAACTAAATAAAGTATGTTAAGAAAAACTTGCACTGCATACTCTAACCCATAAACAATGTAAATTGATTTGTGCTAAACTCAGCTCATAACTTAAGGACTGTAAAGGGAATTATAAAATTCAACTTCAAAAATACATGAATGGGTTAAATCTTCTTCTTCTAATACTCTGCTTTATCTGGGTATGATTACTTTTGTTTATTCACAAATGTTTGTTCTTAAAATGCGAAAAGTTTCTCTTTGCATTCTATTTTACAACTATTTAACAGGTAATAATAATTTGCCATTTAAAGGCGTTCAGTGTGTTTACATGTTCATTCCTGCACTGTAAATCCAAAAACTGGATATCTTAAATAAAAGAAGTAAGCTAACAGAGCCTAATCCTCCAGAAAGTCACCAAAAGAGTCACTCATTCCCATGAATTAAACCCAACTCAAAAATTCATTGTTAGAGTAATAACTCAGTTGTTTTGAATGCCCCAAAGCCCCAAAATTAATTGGCTACCATTTTGATAATCGAAAACTGAGTAAATTCAATTTAAGTGGGAACATTTGTATAAAAAAGATGCATTTAAGTTTGTCCGACTTTATTCAGATAAATTCTGTTAACACATTTTAAATAGGTTTGGAGAAATGCTGTATATTAGTGTACTTACTAGTTTGACGTACAACTGACTGAATTTGCCTTCCCTTCACAATAAATGAGTTACTTGTATCAATATCAAATATTCTTTCATGCTTAAATTGTTGGAGTTAATATATCTAAACTGTTTCCTCAAACAGTTAACAGTGAGTTGAACTAACTCATCAGGTTTCACAGTGTGATAGCTTATTGTGTTCACAGTTCCCATGTTTTGGGGTAGACCAGTGTGGAGGATCACTTCTTCCTGCATATTTACACATTCACTTATTATCATAACAATAATTCTAAATGAATGTGAAAGACCATGCAGGCAAAACCATGGAAGATTGAGAAAAAAGATTATATAAAGGAGTTTCACAGTTGCTCGATAGGGAGTGATATTATTCCTCACTTTAATGCGTAATGTTAAAGTACATACCAAACTTTAGTAGGCTGCAGATCCATCACCCCTCAGTGGTCAACCTGG